GCAGTGACAGCATGGGAGTGAAGAGTAGGGGACAAGCAGAGAGGGCCGCCCCCAGTAGCACAGGAGTCAGCGGGCGTGTGCCTGGAGTCTGGCTGAGTCAGCACAGGAGCCCGAGCGCGGTTGCTCTGGACCTGGGAGGAGACAGTGCCTCTGCAGGGTGCTGTGCCAGGTTCCTCTCCCGCTGCGCCCGCACCAAGAGCTTCCACAAGCTGGGACCCGTGTGCCAACTGGACTTCTGTGGTGTGCGCGTGTGTGTCTCAGCAGGTGAACTTCACATGTGGCACACATGCTTAATGGCAGGTCCTGTGGAGAAATCATGTGGAGCCTTGGTGGTGGTCCTAGCTCACCACAAAACCTGCTCCCAACTCCCACCGTGGTCAGTTGCAGAGCCCGGGCTGTGTTCAGATCATACTCAGAGCTGGGGGGTGGTTTCAGATTCTTGGCATCTTGATTCTGAACAGTGTCCACAGTGCTTGAATTACAAGTTTAAGTGCAACTAAGGGATTTTGTGGCCAGTAGTCACCCGTGCCCAAGGCAAGAGTAGGCACCAAGGCCTATGTCCCACCTGTAGCATCTCTGGGCCGAGGAGCGCATGCCATGTCCTCCGTACCTGGGCAACACTCTGGGCGCCTGCAAAGGGACAGCACCGCCGAGATGATCGTGCGCGAGCACACAGGGAAGTCCCAGGCCGAGGCAGCCTCCTCAGCTCCCCGACCTTCACCCTGAACGACCAGGCTGACGAGGGATTTTTCTGTGCTGGGAGCTAGTTCAGTCCCAAACCTTCCTTGTACGCTGTTCAGAAAGGAGGGGCTCAGCCACTGCCGTCTTCAGGTGGTTTCCTTAATGTAACATTCAGACAGGCTGCAGACTACCCGCTCTTCACACACACCCAGGGGGTTCCTGACCTTGTAGACTCCTGTCTGCTTCTGGCCAGCTCTGACCATCTGGAACTCTCTGAAGTGGAAGAGAAATGCGTTGTTCTCTAGAAGTCCTGTGGACTCTCGGCATAAGTAGAAGAAGAACCGCAATAAGCAAGGTGCCTAGACACCCCAGTAGGCTGTCGAGGCCTTGTGCTCCCTGCATGAGAAACCCCCCGTCCGAAGGTAGCCTGAACCCAGAGCGGGAAGGAGGGGCATGGGTCTGCTTCACTTCCTGAAAGTGGGAGTAACGGATCTGAGGAGCCCTCGTGGCACCGCGTGGTGTGTGTGTGCTGCTTTGAGGGAGAAAGGCGAGGCCATCTGTTCCCATAAAGATTTACGGCCTTGAAAACCCTAAAGAGAGGGCTGCCCTGGGTCAGAAACAGGGCGGTGGATTTGATGTTCGCTGTGATAGAAATGTAGGTCGGCGGCTGTTTCTCTGGGGTGGTGGGCCCCTGAGAATTCAGTGGATGAGCTTCCTGGACTCCGACGTACATCTCGTTGTGAGTTGAGAAGCCCTGCCTGAAGGGAGGCCCCCAGAGCAGTGAGAGCCCCTCACCAGAGTACACTTACGGGAAGAAAAGAGACCTCAGGCCTTCCTGCTGTGGCACGCTAGCTGTTCATTGGAATCAACTTGGGACACCACAAACAGGATACATTTACATGTCAAAAGTGCCTTGCTTCCCACCTACAGAAGGCAGGGCATTATCTTAGGGAGTTGGGAGGAAATACGGTTTTCATTTCCTTTTAGAAGAAAATTTTAAGTGTCAGTTATCTTACAAGATTTGCTTGACTATAGCATTTAACTTTGTATTTGAACATGACTTAAATAAAAACGTTATCTACCCAAAAGTGAGGCCCATTGTTGTAGATTCCCCAGTGCCACTGTAGCTTGTTCTCAACCGTTCATTCCTGCCAGGGCCTGGCTACGGGGCTCAGTGCTCCACAGGTGCTTCTGTGACCGGACACAGCCCAGAGGCTGGGGATGAAGTGCATCCAAACTTGGGTGAGCTCAGGTCCCCAGAGAGGTGTCGTTCTGCCCGTTTTAGTGTGTCTTATACGTGGCCCGGCTAGAGAAGGGTCAACTGTGCCGTGGAACGGAGAAGCGGCCTCGGCAAAGGGAAATTCTGGTCAAGTGGGAACACCTGAATAGGTACCGAATTCATTAACCATGAAGTTTGTTGGGGGTGTGTGTGTAATTCACTGGCTGTATGCATAAGAACTAAGCACTATCAATGTTTGTTGCTAGATGAACTCGGTTATGAAGGGTTCCTGTGTCTTAGGCATCGTGAATGAGTACAAGAAGGAAACAGGTCTCCCTCCCCCACAGTTTTTCGTTTTGCTGCTACAGCAAGTGAGACCACAGGTTCCCAAACTTTCAACTACTGCCGACTTTTTTTTGCCCTACTTTAAAAAAAGAAAAAAAATTTTTTTAACTTGGTGCTCCCCTAGCAATTAAAAACTGGTAGCCCGTAATCCGAGATAAAAGTATAGGGATCTTTAGCAGACCCTTCTCTGGATTGTCCCAGTGCCCCCATCCCCCAGGGGGTGATATTGCCCGCATCGGGAAACTGGTGTAGACTATCTAGTCATACTTTGTACTTCAGGGTTGACATTGCTTGAACAGTTGGGATGTCTCCATAGGCCACAGACCCTGTTCAAATATTAGAGGGGTCCTCAAGGTCCACCGCACCCCACCCCCGCAGAGACAGGTAAAACACTGGATGAGGATGCTAGCTTACTTGTCAAGGGAATAAAAGGGAGGAGGAGGAGGAGGAGAAAGGGATCGAGGCTAGTAAAAATTCATACCTTACATGGTTCCTCTCATGTCATGATAGAAACATACCTGAGACTTGTGGTGGATCTTCTCCCTTTATTGCAGTCACTTCTTGCTCAGCTTTAAAATGAAGATCATCCCAAGCAAAGTGCCGCTGTACTTCGGAAAATAAAGTGCCAACGAGCCAATGGGAGAACATTTCATGAGGGAACAGACTTTGTCTGGCAGGAACGCAGGGTTCAAAGCAACCAGAAGCGGGCCCTAGGCAGGGGCAGAAACCGGACTGCAGCTAGTTCAGCAGGATAACTGCATTCTTCCCCTTCCATGGACCCCCTTCATGGAGAGATCAGGAGGGTGAAAGGAGTTGTCCAGAGAGTGGTCCACCTGTCCATTCTCCACGCCCGTAGCAAGCACAAGCAGCCCTGTGCTCAGAAGGACTGAAGTCATTGTGCTCCTGGTGTCCAAGATGTGATGGGAAGGGTTATTTGCTGATCATCATGATTTGTTCACTCTTGAATTCAGTTGTGCCATTTTGAGGCCAACGCTGAAGAGGCCCGTGGTGAGCAAAGCAGGTAAGATCTCCGACCGTGAGACAGTGAGTGATGACGAACATGTGACAAGGCAATTGCATACACGGCGTAGTTCAATGGGCCATGTTCTAGGGCACTTTCTGGTCCAAAGGGTCAGTTGGATTCACCCCGGAGAAGAGCTGCTGCCTTCCATTGATGGGTGAGCCTGGAGCAATGGGTGGGAGGGCTGAACACCAGGAGTGCTCTGTGAAAGAGTTTGTCTTCAATTAGGGAGAGTCTAACTAACTGGGAGGGAGTAGGCAAATACAATTATTTTGGTGGTGAGATGCTCGCTGGAGTGTTTAAAAATAGCAAAACACCGGAACTAATTTTTTCAGGTAGTATTGGGTTAATCTAGCTGTAACCTTAGTTGCGGACTTTTAACAAAAGTTATGACTCAAGGCAGTAGATGGTCTTGGTTTGGTACTTGGAGGTGGTAAGTGTATGTTTACAAAGTTAACTGCTAGAGCCATGATGGAAAGGTCTAGTATAGAAACATGACCGTTCGTTCAGTTAATGAAGAAAGCAGCAGGTTGAAGCTGAGTACCTGAGGTGGAAAACAACAAAACCCACATTACAGGTACATGCTTTGGATTTAGTCGAGTCTTGGGGTCGAGCATCTACAAAAATTTCTTCAAATGATATTTAAAAGAAGTATACCTATGTACTTGAGTATAAACCGGCCCGAATATCTGCCAAGGCATCTAACTTTGCCACAAAAGCGGCATTAAAAATGTGCTGGAAAACTCGGCTTATACTCGAGTGTGTACGGTACTTATTTAGATGGCTTGGGTCCCTTAGGGATTGTACAGTAACTCCAATCGTCCTCGGGTCCTTTACGTCTTTTGCAAAAGGCTAAATCTTAGAAGCTTTTAAAACGTCAAACAATACACTAAACTCCAAGAACAAAAATATACATGTTTATGTTACAAAGAAAAAATACAAGAGGTGGTAATAGAGAAACGCTAACCTTGTTTACACCTTTAATTTACTTTGTGTTATAAATTACAGGGCCTCAACAGGAGAAAAAGGTACCCTGCCACCAAAGGACTAAACAAATTTAGTCTGTTGTGCCAAGACGGTATTGAGTTCTTGGATAATTGTATGCTATAAATTACAGTAAATGCCAAAATGCAGCAAAATATCCCAATTATAAGTTAGAAGATTGGTCACTTTGAAGTGTGACCTTTTGCTTGAAACCTCTAAGAAGGCCTTAGTTTCTCTAGAATATATCATCATTGTTGCCCTTTCCTGCAACGAAACATTAGCTTACAGCCCCTGCTGGCCCTGCATTATTTTCTAGACGTCATTGTTGTCTCTTATGCTCCTTGGAGTATTTACTGGTTTATTAAGCTAGCCTGGAAAGCTATCGTTAACTGTTTCAAGCTTATACCAAAGAGTTAAATCTGATCCTAAATAGCTGGTATCTTGACAGCACTTCAGCTTATATAGGATAATGAGAAGTGAGTCACAGAATTTGAAAATAAAGACTAGTTTCTCCTATGCTTTCACTGAGGCCAAGGACCCATTACAAACAACTTTGCAAATGTGAATGCTTATACTTGGTCCAGAAACAATACATTGTAGACTGGATTTGAGATAGTTTTATTTTAAAGCAAAGGAAAAATAACAGAGTGATTGAGCATCTTCAGAACAATTAGTGGAAATATGGTGTAAAGGTGGTTTTCATTTTCCTTTTGAGTTATTCTAAATATTACTGTACAAAGCTGGTAATGCCATTTTTTAACTTTAAAAATTGCCCCAAATATTGCCATTTAATTCATTAAACAATATGTCTTTGGCATATTAAACATTTGCTTTTTGTGCATCTAAATTTTCTTTTTAGATATAAATTTTGCTTTTGGTACAATTAAGCCTTAATGTGTTGTATATATACAAAAAGTTTGTTTTGTTCGAGGAAAGTCTTGTTGGAATTGTAGCAATTTAAATTCTCAATGTTTTGTATTTTTTTTTTTCATTTAAATAGGATGCAATTTAAAAATTCTTTGCATCAAGGTGTATGCAAAATGTTGATGCAGTGCATCACAAAACAAAAGTTTGTATTTAATGAGGAGGTGCTTTACACTGTACTCTGGTGTTTTTTGGAAAAATTAGATTTAGATCGATTCTAAAACTGTTCATTTTTTAAAAATAAAATGTTACAGGTTTCACATGAAAAAAAAAAAAAGCAAAACATTGGAAACTGCTTATATAACCCCCAAGAAGAAAGTTTGGGCCCTAAGAATTTGTTCTTAAGTGCTTAATGCTGTCTTACATTATCATTTATTTGTAAACAGTTTTATTGGTACGTAATCCACATGTACAATTCAATCATGGAGAAGAGTTGTATAATCCTTACCACAATCAATTTTAGTACATTTAGTACAATCAAATATAGTACATTTTCTTGTACTCATTGTTAATGTTCCCTCCAGCTTTCCCTGCTACACCCCCAAGAACCATTAATCCAGTTAATATATATATATTTATATTTATATATATTTATATACACACACACCACCATTTAATGGGTAAATTAAGACACAAATACACCCAAAAAACCCACAATTGTATAATGTTGGGTATTAATCTAGTCAGGCTTAACTGGGAGACCCAATGTATAACATCACCTGGTCTGCTGCCATCTGTGTAATGCTTTAATCTACTGCTGCAGCCACAGACTCGGTCCATCTTGAGGGCTTTCCTCTTTGTCACTGATCCTCTACTAAGCACTTTGTCACTGACCCTCTTCAAAGGAAGGACCAGTCTGATGATGTCATGCTTGGCGAAGGGGCCAAAAATAGGAAGGCCTGTCAAAATGGATTAACAGGCTGTAACTTGGGGTCAAAGTAATTAAATCTTGCCAATCCAAAAGTTTTAGGACCAAGTGTTGCCAGAAAAGCAGTTGTGAAGAGGGTGCAGGGATGGCTGATACACGGGATCAATCTATGTGGAATCCGACTAGTGAAGATTTTTAAAAGAATCCCAGGTGGCGTCAGGGTTATGTCTTGGGCTGCTAACCATAGGTCAGCAATCGTTGCTCAGTGCAAGAAAAATGAGACTTTCTACTATAAAGAAGTATGGCCTTGCTAACCGACAGGGGCAGTTCTAACTTGGCCTATAGGGTTGCGATGATTATTGACTCGGCTGTTGGTGAGCTGTTTTGTTTTTTGAAAGGTTTTGATAGTTTTCTTAAACGTTGTCAAAAACTGGCATCATATGGTATTTTTTCCCACAGGGGTTAGGCCTTAACTTTGTTTTAGACTCAGTAGGACAGAGACAAGTTAGTGTGGAGGCCGTGAAGTATTTGACGGCACAACGAGGCAGTTGCAGGGAAGCAACGCTCCTTCGTGGCGGGGCAAGACCGGAGCTGCTGGGCGCGGCGCAGTGTTACCGTCCGGCTCCGGCGGAAGTGACGGCGTCACTGCGCGACCGCGCTTCCGTTCTGAGTGACGTGCGTGCGTGCGTGCGCTGGCGGCAGAACCCGGCCGGGCTTGTCGCGTGGTCTTGTGTGTCTTCACGCGTGTCCGCCCTCTGCCCCCAGGATCATGGCCACCGACTCGTGGGCTCTGGCGGTGGACGAGCAGGAAGCGGCTGTCAAATCGGTAGGTGGCTTCGTTTAAAAGGGTGGATTTACAGTGGCAAGGGCTGGATAGCTCTACGGGAACCCAAAGCCTCGCGTTTCCCTCGAGAAGATACAAACGGGTTCAGCTGCAAGCAAAACAATCATTTGATCACAAATTTGCCAACAACTCTTCGCTGTCATGAAAACCATTTTTCTATATTAGCAGTGTAGGTAAGAATAAAGGGCGATAGCAATTGTACAATACTGCTTCATGTGATTGAATTATGCACTATATCTAACTCCCAATAAATTGGTGTTGGAAAAAATTGGGGTGGGGGGGCAGTGTTAAGATGGTGTTGTCAAAGAACGACCCAGAGGTCGGGGTGCCGTGGGTAGAGCACTAGGCTGCTTGATGCTTCGAACCTGTCAGCTACTTCTGGTAAACAGATGTGACCATCTGCTCTTAGAAAGTGAAAGATCTGTCCAGCGTGGAACCCTGATGGGCTAAGCCCTGCTGTACAGGACTGTGGACAGGGTCGCTATGAGCTGCAATCCACTCAAGGGCACTGGATGGGTGAGGTGGGTGGGTATAGAAATGTCAGGTTGTGGGAAATATCCAGAAACTCGGGTGTGCCAGCACTTCCATAACTTTCTCCCTAATTTGTATTGTAGGTGGTGAATAAAACAAAAAAGGGACTAATCTATGTGTGATGAGTTGATTTCAGAGTGGATTTTTAAATTGAGAGGGACAGGATTGGTGCTTCCATCTCAAAAGCTTGCCAACCCCTGCTCCAGGGGGAACACACGTTGGGAGTGAAGCAGAGGGTTGAGACTTGACATTTTGTTCTCCCTCCTATTGCTTGTAACTTAACCCCCTTATTTGTCCACCTCCAGTCTGGTGAAGAGATTGAAAATGTTTTCATTCAGGCTTTTGCAATTTTGGACCAAGCAGAGCAAATTCAGCCTCTGAATGTGGGGGTTGGAGTAGTTCCTGCTAGACTTTACTAGAAGAGACTTTCCCAGCGTTGAAAAGCCTTCCTCTCCTGGGTCACCTGCCTTAACTCTGCCCCTGTTCCTTCTCATCCAGATGAACAGCTTGCAGATTAAGGAAGAGACGAGCAAAGCAGATACCAACGGTGAGTCACTTAACCACAAGCTACACGTGGGCTTCTGCTTTCCATTCACAGCTGCAGTGTGTACCAGGGCTGTTGCATTGAAAGCTTCCACATTTGGCAAGTGACAGAGGCAGTACAGAAGGCTTCATGGCAAAGAGGGTGTGTGGTGGACTCATGATTTGATCTAGCTTCTGGCTCCTTAAGGCTAATGATCACCATTGGAGTATTGTGCTCACTGGAAATTGTTTCTGTCAAAGTGTGAAGCAAATGAAAATACAGATCTCTATTCTCTCTCTCAGAACTAGCTAATGCAATGTTGTCATTTATTTCTGAATGTAAATTTCATATATAATACTCTTGTATAGTTAAGTCGCTGTTAAAAAGTTTTATCTACATTATCGAAATCCATTCTAGTCCTCCTAACCCCATTTCTTATTTGCTCCCCAATCTCCCTTATCCTCCACTCCAGCCCTCCCTCTCCCCGTTAAACCATCCCATCAGTTATTGTCTCTGTTCATGCACTCCTCCAGTGCTTAAAAAACTCGGAAACCTAATAGAAACAATAATGATAAAAATTAAAAGTTAGAAAAGACCACCAGCAATATTAAAGAAAAAAAGTCAGAGAGGGAATTTCTATTGAGGCACAAACCAGAAATATTTAAACCTAGAGCAGATTTGGGTTGGGTCAGCAGGGAGGTCATGTGAACTAGGTATACAAGGCTGTATTTTAAATGAGGGTAAGTCAGAGGGGACATTCGGATCGCTGTAAAATCGGCCAGAGCTTCTAGAAATTTATTTTTCTTGTGAATTTTAAAACTTTCTAACATTAAAAGTCCATTAATCATAAAGAAATGCAAATTATTTCTATTTTGAGTACTTAAATAAATCTTAGTTCTGATTGTTCCACCTTTTTGGTTTTTTTATTTTCATTCCACTGTTTTGTATGGGTTTGATATTTGCCTAATTATGACAACTTTTTTTGCATAGGAGTTATCAAAACCGATGCTCCTCCAGAGAAAACAAATGAAGAAGAAAAAGGTAATTATTCTTTGACGTCGCTGTGGCTTCCTGGAATCCAGAGCCCACCCTGTATCATAGCAAGATCCAGGTGACAAGGAGAATCACAAAGGAGACTGAGAAGAAGCAGTCAGCAAAATAAAACCCAAACCCAAAGAAGGTTGTCCAAGAGAAGCCAGAGCACACTAATTTTCAAAAGTTGGAAGGTCAAATGTAGCCAATGAGTTGATGAGGAGAAAAGCTAAAAAAAAAAAAAGTGACCAATTGATTGATTAGGCCACGTGGAAGCGATGGGTGAGCTTCATGAGCAGCCTCCACAGAGAGAAGGGAAAGACAGGAAGTGGAGACTACCGCTAGACAACTCTTTGAGGAATATTTTATAAAGGGGATCAGGGAAAAGGAGCAGTACTTGGGTGTGGAGAGGAGGAAACAGGTTTCTGAATTTAGGGTGAGGAACATTGACATGCTACGGAATGGTCCAGAAGAGAGGGAACATTGGAGTGGTGCAAGCGAAGGTCATTGTTCTGAGAAATACGCTTGTCGGTCTCAAGGGACGGGCTCTGTCTGTCGTGAAGGAGTAGCCAGGATGTGCACCCAGGGAGAAGGGAGAGAATAGGAACCCACGCAAGCACCTGGGTGGGAGTGGTCAAGGGCTCAGAAACACTCACTGCTGTCCAGTCAGTGCTGACTCCGTGACTCTAGGACAGGGTGGGACTGCCCCGTGAGTTTCTGAGAGTGTAACCCTGTACGGGACTGTAGAAAGCCCCGTCTTTCTCCCAAGGAGCAGGGCAGTGGAAATGGAAACACTTGCTGAGCAGCTCAGTGCCCTTTTTTGGGTCTAGTGGTCAGATCTTTTAAGCGAGGCCTGTAGGCGTGGATGTTTTTTTCAGTCCTTGATTGGCTGCCCAGGTGCTTGGGTGGGGTTAGCCAGATGGGTCTGAGGCGGGGCTTGGGCCTGGGAGGGAGGCTGAAGAGGCGTCTTGAGCCATTTCCGGAGCCTGTTGCTGGAGACTGGCTTGTTGGGAGGGCTGAAGAGTAAGACGCGTTCAAAGCGGCGTGGCCATTTTGTGTAGGACACCGTTTCTTCCTGACGCTACCGGTGAAGAGCTTGCTTGCTGTGCCATGTGGACACTGCCCGTGTATTCTAAGAAGGAGATTGTTTTCTAATAAGGTTCCTAGCAGGGCATCAGCTTGTAATTTTTCCCATTCTGTTAAACCCACGTAAATTTGGTTCATCCTGGTTTTCTTCTTGCCAGAGGACAAAGCCGCCCAGTCCTTACTCAACAAGCTGATCAGAAGCAACCTGGTTGATAACACTAACCAGGTGGAAGTCTTGCAGCGGGACCCGAACTCGCCCCTCTACTCCGTGCGGTCTTTTGAAGAGCTCCGACTGTGAGTGCCCCTTCCCCTCGTGTCGGTTCCCATCCCGCCCCCTGTGAAGTTTAGGGTCTGGGATATGGGACTGTTAGGGTTTTGTTGTGTTTTTTTAAACCTTGATGTGTTGGCTTCTATTAAGAGGTAATAAGTCACATGATTCAAAGTCAAAAAGTCAGAAAGCATTCCATGGTTTCCCTCCCCCATTTGTCTCTTGGCTACCTATTTCCCCTCCTCTCGGTAGGGATTTTTTATTTATTTTTTCCCTGGTAGGGATTTTTATATGCCACGCATTTATTCCTTATAGCTGAAAGTCTTTTTTCTTTTATGCTCTTAGAACTTTCAATAAAATATTGGCTGACAGGTGATTTCTGGATGTCAGGAACAGTACTTATTAGGTAAGCCCCTTTGTTAGACTCGAGGGTCAGCAGTTCTAGTCACAGGTGTTCTGCCCACATTGGAAAGTTGCCTCAGAGAGTTCTGGAATCATTTGTTAAAAACCAAAACCCAGAGGTGAGGCTTCAGGGTCTACATGTACATGGCACTGTGCAGAGAAGGACCCCTAACATGTCATTGGCTTAACAGCAGAAGACAGGACTTAATAAGTGATGTACTGATGAAAGGGTGTACCTAATTCCCCACCCGTTTTCCTCAGCACGAGTCGGAGGCATTTCTGGGAGGTTAGCTGAGGCACATGCCACTGAGCTGGTGTGAAGGGACACAATGTGGCAACCAGACAGGGTGTGGATTGTCACAGTGCCGCCGACCGTGACCATGGTGGTATAGGTGACCTCTTTGCTTTTGTTCAGCAAAGATCTGCAATGTGTCTGCCTGGGGAAATGGGGACGACATTCCTGCCAGCTACCACCCCGCTTTAAACTGCGACGTGTGAAACAGTGAAGCGAAACAGAAGCAGCAGCCTCAGCTTTGACTTTGCAGTTGTTTATTTCCACTGTTCCGGAACCATGCTCTCATCCACGTGGTGCCTGTATTGAGGGCTCTATTCAGCCAATCTGTCCCGCTGTTCCACTTTTGTCCCCATGCTGTGTCGGAGAAGTTTTACAGCCGTGGTTCTCAACCTGTGGGCCGTGACCCCTTTGGGGGTCAAACAACCCTTTCAATCGGGTCACCCAATTTATAACAGCAAAATTACAGTGATGAAGTAGCAACGAAAATAATTTTATGGTTGGGGGTGGTGGGGGCGGGGGGCTCCATAACATAAGGAACTGTATGAAAGGGTTGCCGCATTAGGAAAGTTGAGAAGCGCTGTTTTAGAGGCAGTGAACTGTTGTTTTCTAAGACTGGTGCACAGCCTTACAAGTGCCAGTGGTTTGGGGCGTTTTCTAAGTTCCTTTCTTTCAATAATTTGAGTTGTCACTCCCACCCTGTGGCCCGACCTCTTTGAAAGACAGGTTCTCTCATGTGGCCACTGGGAGCCTGAAGAAACCTCGAGGTCACTCAGTGGACTCTGTTTAGTCCTTAAAAGTGTATCTGCAAATTAAAAGGAAAAAAAGGGGTCCCAGGAGGCTCTTGGGTCACCTGGCCTGATTTGGGAGTGAGTGTTTCCTTAGCAACAAGCCAGAAGCTGCAGAGTTTACAGCCTTTGCCTTCACACAGAAGACACCCCGAGTTACGTTCTCAACGTTCTTTGTATCAGAGAACCAACAGAGGCTAGAAGTAAAAATATAACCAGAAACACGCCTTTAGAGAACCTGTTCAATACCACTGAGGCTTGACCTGGTTTGACTTTTTTTTTTTTAAACAATCATTTTATTGGGGGCTCTTACAGCTCTTATATAACAACCCATACATCAATTGTATCAAGCATATTTGTACATATGTTGCCATCACTATTTTATAAACATTTAGTTTCTATTTAAGCCCTTATCAGCTCCTCATTTCCCCCTCCCCCCCTAGTTTGACTTTTTTACAGAACAGTAGTGTGTGCTTTTTGTTGAACACCCTGGTGGTCTTACTGTAAATGGAGCTTCATGTAAGAGCAGCTCTAAATGATACTTTTTGTTTGTTTGTTTAATGATGCTTTTTTATGGGCTGACTTACATGAAATGTTAGAGTGCGAGCATTTGTAAACTCAGCGTCATAACTGAGCCCCTCTGGGCACCATCGAGCCACTGGAAACAGGCTGATTCCGTGTGCTCACAGCTGGTTTGGGCAGACAGTGGGGCACCTACAAGGAGAAATTCAAACCAGAACCCCATTCTGTAAAGAGATGTCTATATGGCATAGTAAGCTGGGATTGTTTTTAGATGTGCGATGAATAATTTATCTTCTGCTATGAATTAATGATCACCACTCTTGCTGTGTCTGGGGAGAGCTTGTCATCCTGGACTAACCAGATTTGTGGGCACGCCGTGAGCACGTTTCTCCAAGAGAGAAAACTGTTCTGTATTGTATGATGGACAGAACCTGTGCAGACTGAGATTTGGTCAGAAAAGGTAGTGGTTTGGCTTCAGGTGGTGTTTTTTAAACCCAGGAAACAGAACGGCGCTAGGCAGCATCCATCCTTGCTAGATTAGGGAAAGGAGAAACTTAGCCATGAGAACAGTTTAAACCACTAAGACTCCATCCCCTTTCCCACTGGGCCTCTTAGGAAACCACAGCTTCTCCAAGGAGTCTACGCCATGGGCTTCAACCGACCCTCCAAGATACAAGAGAGCGCCTTACCCATGATGCTTGCTGAGCCGTGAGTAGGCCAGAGTTTGGTTTAAGTTCTTTCATACACACTTGTGACTGGTCTTGAGAACAGAGTGGCCTGTTTGGACCAAAATTATTTCTCGAGGGAAACCACTTAGTCGTTAATCTTGAGACCTGTAGAAAGCGGTGAAGAACAGGACCAAGGGAGACCTCTGCAGTCTTGGCCAGCCAAGCCATAGAACGTGGTGCTCCTCGCTCCTGTCACCTCTGCAGGAGGAAGCCCCATCCGGAGGTCCCCGCATGTTCCCTTTTCCTTGGGACCCCAAATGCCTGTCCCTCAGGACCTAGAGGCGTCTGCATGATTCTAAGCCTCACAGACATGGCAGCATGCCCCATGTAATAATGGCTGCCTTCACCTAGCTTTATCATGACTCCATGACAACAATGCCACCCAGTCCCATGATGCTGAGCCACATGAACTCAACTCATTGTTTGGAGTCAGTTCCGACTCCTCATGACCCAACAGGACAGGGTGGAGCTGCCCTGCCCAGTGGGCTCCTGAGATTATAACTATGGGAGTAGAAAACCTCATCCCTGGGAGCAACTGTTTTGCAATCTTGAAGGGTTTTGACTCATTCAATAGGCCTGGTCATTATTGGTCCTAAAGGGCCGCATTTAAAAAGACGAAACTTTAATTTGGGGGTCTTGATGGGCTACATCAAGATCGACCTTGATTTTAACTGTTCTATCAACTGTTATCTTTGATGTTATCGTGTGTGTGTGTGTGTGTGTGTGTGTGTGTGTGTGTGTGTGTGTGTGTTAAAAACAGCATTTACTATTTGAGCCCATTTTCTTGCATGTACTAGTTGAGAAAAGAGATTCGTCATCCTGTGTAACCTTCACTAACCTTTTCTAGTTTTTCATGCTCTGGGTTCTGTGGGGTCTGTCCTAGTAGTGGGATTGCTTGGGAGCGTTTGTTTTCATTTCTCTCCTTCCTTGACCCAGCCCACAGAATCTGATTGCCCAGTCTCAGTCCGGTACTGGCAAGACAGCTGCCTTTGTCTTGGCCATGCTCAGCCGAGTGGAACCAACAGACACATGCCCCCAGGTAAGGATTTGAGGAGCCCAGGGACCCTGCCTGCCTGCCTTGGGCAGGAGGGCAGCGCCATCTGGTGAGGGTGATTAGTAAGGGTGCCTGGAGTGGTCTGAAGGTTTCTGATACCTCAGACTGGCTCGCTTGGGCACACGGTATTTTAATGAGTTCCTGCCTGAGTAGAATTCACTTGGAAAGAGGACCCCAGTCTGCCCGGGGCTCCTAGCACAGCTCGGGTGGTAAGAACAGCAGTGCTTGGTGGGTCCCCAGACTCATCCTTTGGTTTCCCCACCAGTGCTTGTGCCTCTCCCCAACTTATGAGCTGGCTCTTCAAACCGGAAAAGTGATTGAGCAGATGGGCAAATTTTATCCCGAGCTAAAGCTTGCCTATGCTGTTCGAGGCAATAAATGTGAGTATCCAGGGGTGGGATAAGCAGCGGGCGGGAGGGGGCTTGGATTGTGAAAGTATGGTGGCGGGTGATGATCAGCTTTCTAGTTCACTTTGACCCCCGAGCCCAGTTGCGTTGTCTGTAGCAAAGGTATTGCAGGACTTGTGTGAACAGTCCTCTTTGCTCTTAAAGTCAGACTTTCTGATGTTATCAATTCCACCCATGGCTATGACATGGTGTGAGTCCACTGAACTTGGCCTCAAGTTCTGGACGCTGCTTACAAGAATGGGATCAGGAACTCGAGGGACAGTAGGTTAGGGCAGGCCCCTCCTTCAAAAGCATGGAGTTCAAGAACATGCATTGGAAATCCCCCCCACCCCCCACATCTGTTCTTCCTTGTTTTCTACAGCACGGAGTACAGGGAGAGTAGGGGCTTAAAACAGGGCAGGCTTGGGGAGTTTTCTAGAAACCGGTTAATTGGAACGTTACCAAAATGTAGAGCACTCCATCAAGAAAAAGGTGGGCAATCTAGTAAGGAAATAGATAAAAGAGGCATTCTGGTCAAAGAGGAACTTGGCCACTAAGCATGAAGAACTGAGCTGTCAGGGCAATGTCAATCAGAAGCACCACTTGGATGGGCAAAGATGACCCAGTCTGATGGTACCAAGTTGTCCTGGAAGGACGTGGGGGGGGTGGTGCCTTGGCAGTCACTTTAGGAAAGTTTGGCATTACCCCAAAAACCTGGAGAGCTGCCCCTTTGACCAAGCAGCCCTGGTGCCGTCGTCGTAGGCGACAAGTTGGGTAACCGCAAGGTAAGCAGTTTGAAACCACCAGCGGCTCCATGGGAGAAAGAGAAGGCTGTCGGCTTATGTAGAGGCACAGCCTTTCAGTTCTGCTCTCCTATATGGGCTCTGATTCGGAACCGACTCGGTGGCAGAGTTGAGTGTTGGATCTCTTTGACCCAGCATCTGGAATTGCTGAGGAGCCGTTGTCATGATCTCGCCACTTCTTCACACACTACACGACTGGGGGCGGTACCTGCCGTGCTAACGAAGCCAAAAGCGAGCAGCCGAGACCTGTAGCATGTGAGTGTAGGCAGTGTGCTGGGACACCTGTGGTGCAGACCTGGCCAGCTACCCTGTGGATTTCTGGGTCTCGGACATCACCCGCTTTGGCTGGGGAGCCGTCTTGCTCACCATTTCCTTCCGGCCTTCCTTGTCCAGCAGATATCCGCCAGCCCAGGTTCAGGCTTTCTCGGGCTGGACTGCCTATTTATGGAGAAGAGGGCTATTTCAAAATTGAAAAATGGAATGGCTTAGCATTGTTACACCTTTTAAAAATGTTTCTTAAGGTGGATTCATATCTGCGTGTGAGATGTTTTTTTGTGAGGCAGATGGAGAAAACTTGTCTTCAGCTAATTTGAGATTTCTGATGCTATACCAAAACTTGTCCGTGGGAACCGGAGGTGTCACGTGGTTTTCTAAAGGCAGGTGAATGTGGATTAAAAAACCCCTTGCTGTCTCACATTTAGAATGGCTCTTTTTAAACCAAGTGATTTTCTAATTTCATGCTTTGGTCATTTGAAAAATATTTGTGTCTTCCAAATGTTGACACATTTATACAGCATGAAAAAATTACAAGTGTTAATAACTTCACCAATGTATTAGCATCAGAACGCTGTCCAGGACAGGATATTTAACACAAGTTTCCCTAAAGTCTTTATCTCCTGAAAGAAGAAGTGCCATGCCAGATAGTTCCCAGTGAAGAGACTAGCTCACTGCTCGCTTTCATGACAAGGAGCGTCCCCTTTTCGAGTTGAGTCGCTCTGTCGGGAGAGCCAACAGAATGGGGAGTTCGGCAGAAGCACTTCATCTAGAGGTGATCAGGGTGGGTCTGTGTGTGTGTGTGTGTCTGGTGCCTCTCTTCTCCAGGCTGTGGGGACAGGAGACTGGTGTTTTCTATAAACTGTATGTATAGTTCCACTCTCACTAGCCCTGGTCACCAGAAAACCATGTTTCAAATGTGCACGTAAAACTCTGCCGTGAGTAGATGAGGACCCCACAGAAAGGCCCTTGCTCAACTTCTGCAGTGATTTTAAGTCAGTTAAAGAACATATTTTCTCATGTTTTTTACAATGAGAAAGGTTATGTGGTGTGGTTTGCCCGACCCGGACCCGTTATCCTCCCCAACTACGCAGCTATCCATCCTAATGGCAGCCACTGTCATGTGCCTTATAGAGAGGTCTATGCAGATGACACACATGTACACCCAATGCATTTTACAGGTTGATCCCTATCGGCTCCTGAACAGTTTACTTTCCTTGGCGTCGCCACCACTGTGGTGACTAGTTAGTGCATATGCACACCCAAGGGAGCTTCCAAAAGTCGGTAGGGAATTAACCCATTATCTTTTCATTCAATTTCTCCCTCCTGTACCACTGGGCCTGACACTGACATTGGAGGGGAACCACACTGAAACCACTGGCGGTGATTGGATGGAGTCAGAATAGAAGCAAGGGGACAGGGAGCTCTGTGGATGTCAAGTTACAGGAGGAGGAGGATTTACTGTGTGAGATTTAACCTGGCCAGGTTTCATCATGCTCACGTTAGAGTAGAAGAAACCGAGGCTTGGCTAGCACTAGTGTTTGGAAATGTGGAATGAACTTGATCTAACAGCTGGAAGGAAGCGTGCGCTGATTCCAGAGCTGCCTTTGCCAGGTTCACACACAGAAAACATCTTGTCTCCACAGTGGAAAGAGGTCAAAAGATCAGTGAACAGATTGTCATCGGCACCCCTGGAACCGTGCTGGACTGGTGCGCCAAGCTCAAGTTCATTGACCCCAAGAAGATCAAGGTGTTCGTTCTGGATGAGGCTGATGTAATGATAGCCACTCAGGGCCACCAAGATCAGAGCATCCGCATCCAGAGGTAGGAGCGGCTGGACAAAGGAGGATGGCGCCTTCACCCTTGACTTCAGACTCTTGCTTCTGTCCAGTGATTTGCTTGCTTGACCATCCTCCTGAGCCCGGGTAGAGGACGGATCTAAAGGGAATCTACCACTCCCCTCTCCTTCCCCCATGCCTTGTGCTTCCTCTCTGGGATGCGTGGGGCGCCCTCCCCTCCACGCAGCCTTCCAGCCTGGGGAGGGGAGCATTCCTGTGTGTGTGTGTGTGAGTGGCAAACGCAGGGTCTTGCCAACACCTGGGCCTTGCCTTGCAGGATGCTGCCCAGGAACTGCCAGATGCTGCTTTTCTCGGCCACCTTTGAAGACTCCGTGTGGAAGTTTGCCCAGAAAGTGGTCCCCGACCCCAACATCATCAAACTGAAGCGTGAGGAGGAGACCTTGGACACCATCAAGCAGTATTACGTCCTGTGCAACAACAGAGACGAGAAGTTCCAAGCCCTGTGTAACCTCTACGGGGCCATCACCATCGCCCAGGCCATGATCTTCTGCCACGTGAGTAGCGGCACCGCCTGCCTGGGGAAAGCAGCCTCCACGGGCTAGTCCTTGCACCACCACTACAAACCCCCTTCTTTGTGACTTACAATGTTGGGAGACAGCCTCGTTGCTGCAGTGAGTTAGACATTGGGCTGCCAAGTGCAAGGTCAGTACTTGAAACCCACCAGTTGCTCCGTGGACGGCCTGTAGAAACTTAGGCTTCAGAAATCCCCATCTTAGAAGGGGGATGTGGGAGCCCAATGGGAGGAACATGGATGTCCTTTCTCATTATCTCACCCAGATACGCGTGGTAAGGCTTTGTCTGCACTGCTGTTCAACATGGCCCCGGGTTAAAATGGTGGACCCACAGCAGTCCACTGTAAAGATACTGTGTGTGCATAGAAGGAACACCTTGTGTTTGCTTATATGTTTGTTTATATTTCCATTTATTGATGTAAACTTGAATGACATGAGGTTATTTCCAAAGAAACTTTTAAGACATTTAAGAGCCTTTGGTATTGTTTCAGTTAAGAGTTCTCCAGATTAAAAACTCTCCTTTCCACATACTTATTTTTTTATCAAACGTTCTCTCTCCAGACCCGCAAGACAGCCAGCTGGCTGGCAGCAGAGCTCTCGAAGGAAGGCCACCAGGTGGCTCTGCTAAGTGGCGAGATGGTGGTGGAGCAGAGAGCTGCGGTGATCGAGCGCTTCCGAGAGGGCAAGGAGAAGGTTCTGGTGACCACCAACGTGTGCGCCCGGGGTGAGCAGAACGGGGCCTGGTCGGCCAGCCTCGGGTCTTTGGGCCCTTCAAGAGAAGGCCCTGCTGATGGGAGACTCGGGTGGTTCCGGGGGACTGGGTGCAGGTCAGGGGTGGTGCTGTAATCCAGAGAAGACTGCCTGCTTTCCCTCGGCAGGCAGGAACTTTTGGACACTCCATACAGGTACCCACAGAGCTTACTGAGGGTGTCTGTGGATCTTTAGTTAACTAGACTTTGGGTGACGGTGGTTTTTGCCTCCGGTGCCTGTTCCGACTCTCCCTCCAACTCTACCCTCATGCAGGCATCGATGTGGAGCAAGTGTCCGTCGTCATCAACTTTGACCTTCCAGTAGACAAGGATGGGAACCCGGACAACGAGACGTACCTGCACCGGATTGGGCGCACTGGCCGCTTTGGCAAGAGGGGCCTGGCCGTGAACATGGTGGACAGCAAGCACAGCATGAACATCCTCAACAGGATCCAGGAGCATTTCAGTGAGTCCCTGCAGTGGCCTCTCCTGGGGTGGGTGGAGGGGGGCCATCATCCCTGACCACAATCTCCTCCTCTCTCCACCACCACCACACCTGGAGAGTCCTGGGCTCAGGCCCTTGCCTGGCAGGACTGGGAGACCAGAGGCTCTGAGTGTTGCTGTGGGGTGCCCAGAGCCCCCGTGGCCCCTTTCGGGCCTGCCCTCCTGTGGGCAGGATGTTCAAGAGCCTCTGTCCCCTGCCTGATGACCTCCTCGCATGTCCACAGCAGCCCCAGCTGACTCCTCTTTTCCCCAGATAAGAAGATAGAAAGATTGGACACGGACGACTTAGACGAGATTGAGAAAATCACCAACTGAGAAGCTGCCCCTGGGCTCCTTCCAGAGAGATGGGTGCTTTGCCCCAGGGACAAAGCTGCAGCAGACAACTACCCACCTCGTTTCTAATTACATTGGGACTTAAAAGGTAGAAGAAAACGTTTCATTTCAGAGCCTCTCCACGCTCCCCTTACCAGCTTACCTTGGCTGTCGCAGGCAACCAGCTCCAACCCAACAGACAATCCCCTTTGAGGTACCTGCTCTTAGTCCGCCTGGCTCCCTGTGAGGTGGGGAGGAGGAGGACAGCGCGCTTGTCCCTCCCTGCCCCTCCACTTGGCCTCTGCTCTGTGGCAGAGGACAGCCCTGGTCGTTCCTCTCCTCTCCGGGCTGTCTGGAATTGTTCTGCAGGGGCCCCGTGGGTCCTGGGAGGACAGACCTGGGCTTGCTGCCTTGTCTCCTTGCGCTCCTGGGAAGGCCCGAGGTATCTGGAGTCCTCCCAGGCTAGCTTGTGAGTAGCAGGTTCACTGAGGAACATGTGACTAGGCAGAAACTCCAATTATGTTGTTCTAGCAACATCGTGAATTCCATTGGTTGAGTTCATATATCTGGATAAGGACTCAAATTATAGCTTTATAGCTATCCCCATCACTCATCGTGTTGAGACTGAAGAATTATGCAATGCTTACCAATCATGGCTTTCCCCTGTGTACAGACTCATGTACGCTCATTAAAGCTATGACGTGCCGAGTGCTTTCTCCCCGCCCCCACCACCCGTGCGCAATAGCAGTTTGAACCAAAATCAATCTTCTCGTGACAGTGTTGTCCTAAACACCTGTGTCCACCTCTAACTGTAGGTGGGGGTCCAGCATCTGTGATAGAGCTCTAGGAGGCTGCTGTTAATCACCCACAGTGAACCACGTCAGGTCATGTTCTCAGAAGTAGACTTGGGTCACACAGAAGGGAAATATTAGTGTACTGCCAATCTGGCCAAACACTTGTTACCAATCTGTAACTGTGCAGACATGACAGTGACACAAAATGGTGCTTACAACGAAATCCTAGCAGCCAATAGACACACAATAAAACACCAATGATCACTAACCGGCCGAGAGATGCAAGTCCGCAAAAAGACCACCTGCCCCAGCACTGCCAGCAGGAGATGGCTGCTGCCGGGTGTGCAGAGAGGGTGAGCCCTCACACTGCTGGAGGGACTGGAATAGTACCGCCGTGGGGAAGCAGTGGGGCGCTTCCTCAAATACAGTTGAGAGAGGACCCAGCAATCTTAGCCATGTGCCAAACGAAGGAACAGGTACACACCCACTGGAAAACTGGCACATGACTACACACGTTACGGAAGACTGATGGGACAGGAGGACATGCTGAGTGAATTAGCCAATCACAAAAGGGCTGACGGTGTACCAGACTATTAGGTAGCTAGATTTAGGAACAAGTGGACTTGTCTCCCCAGTGCCTGTAAAGTCCCACATCAAGGGAGTGGAAAGAAATCAGGCAGCCAGTGGACAGCCTTGGGAAGTCTAAAACAGCATGCACACTAGACCTTGGGCTCAGCCACCATAGGTACATCACACCAGGGGGCCTGAACCCAGCCAACACCTACCACACCTCCCCAGGCAGAGGTCTTAAATGCTCCAGCTGTGGGAAGGCCAGCTCTCTTGCTCTGGTCTTGTCAGAGGGCAAGGGCGCCCACACGCACTTGGTCCCCAGTTCTGCACATGTCAGTGTTCTTTTTCCGTGTGGGATTTTTGAGTCCAGTTGTGAACCCCAGGACAGCTTCCGGGCGACTTGGCATGCTTTCTTTCCAGAGATAGCGTATACCTTTTTGAGACTGCAAAACCTGGAACCTTTCCTGTCCTTCATAAAATCTCACTTGGATTACAAAACATGCTTCGGTGTGAGTTCTTTCGGCAAGCAAAGCCAAGAACCAAGCTGCAACCTGCGAGGTTTTAGAGACAAGGAATGAAAGATGGGAGATAAAGACAAGGGTATAGGTTTTATTTTGGGAGAATGGCAGAGATAAGCGGGATTAAAGTAGCCGGGGAGGAAGACCTTGTCCTGTGAGTGAGGGCCACAGGAGCCTCCGTTGCACGAAAGAAACAGGCTGAATGCAGACTCGCTTGCAAAACTAGGACCGAATCTGCCAAGGAAAGCGTGAATGGCCCCAGTGTCATAGCAGGGTGCTGTGGATGATGGAGCAGAGGGGAGGAAAGGTAGAAGCAGAGGAAGGAGTGCACAGCGGGAGAGCAAAGAACAGAGAGATAGGGAACACAGGCTGTTCTCATGGGCTCCTGTCCCTGGGATGTCTGAATGTTCTAAGCGAATCTTCCTGGTTGGGTCCTGCCCCCCTGGGCGGACGCCCACATCTGCAAGCTGTGAAGGTGGCTGCACAGGTGAGGTGGAGAGCATGGGTTTGTTTGTAAGCAAGCAGCTTAGAGCTGGCTGCAAACAGTCTCCAAGTAGTCTCACTGCTGGACCCTTTATCACAGAAACCTAGCAAAACAGATTTATACCAACAGAAACCAACTTTGATTGTTACCAGGGTTGGGAAGGGAAGAGATGGAAGGGGAAGTGAGAGGCTAGAGGTGTTGCTTGGGTGAAGAAGGTAACATCCAACAAGAGGGAAAGAACTATGGAAACCGGACAAACCATTTGGCGGCTTCATCGTTAAGTGCAAAAGTGACCTGATCTGTAAACTCTCACCTCGTTCACAATCAACAGTTTAGAAATAGGCAGTGGAGCAAAACAAGACGGTGATCAGGGCTGGAGACCAAGGCTTGATGCTTGCAAAGGTCACAGGAGAGCTAAATATAATTAATTGGTTTGCCAATTAATTATATTTATAAATTAATTCTGCCTTTGTCCTGGGTTTCTGGAAATGTGACCTTGCAATTCCCTGCTTATTGCTAGACCAGACCTGACAGATGACGGTAATGAGGTGATTCAGGTGGGGCTGGTTAGGGCAGGAAGACACCCCACCCCACCGATAGCAGCTGAGGACATGACTCAATCAGGCCTGTAATGAGCGTCCCCCCGCCCTGCGCACCACCCCACCCCCCCCAAAACTCTGGACAGGAAGCACCACGGCAGGCGCGGGGAGGGCAGTGAGTGAGTCCCTTTTGGGGACGCGGAAACGTCACATTGGTGCTAGAACCCTCTCAGACTTGATCCATGTGCCTTTTCATTTGTGTCCTTTGGGCTGGGAGAGCAATTTCATCATAAATACAGCATTTCCAGGAGTTCTGTGAGTACTGGACCTCAACAGAAGGCCCCTCTGTGCGGACCACACAGTGTGTGCTCTTTCAACCTCGCTGTGCTTGCCAGGACGGCGAACGGGGCTCGCTGCTTGTTCCCCGAGGACTGGGCTGCTCTCTACCAGCGCGGGGACCTTTTCCTCTAGCAGAGTCATGGTCAGAAGCAACCCAGGCAGAGACCTGCCTAGGAAGCTGTGGTCTTCGGGGAGGGGAGGGAGGGTGAGGGTGAATGTTTAATTCACACTCACAAAGGAGTGATTGCATTATAGAGTTAGACGGAAATTGTATGGTTTCACCTAGTAAGGAATGAGGCTTTCTAACCCTGACAAATACACCGCAAAAGGCAATTCCGAGCTTGAAGCTGCTCACATAATGGGTTTAATACCTAGCCGCTTCCACCCTCTTCCCCTCATTTCTGCAGGAAGCCAACAGGCCCACCAGGGGCATATCCCACCCTCCCAACACCCCATGGGAACCCAGGGGGTTGTCCCCAAAGAGCCCTTGGGCTTTGTGTCATTGCTGTCCCCTCTTGAAGGAGGCCTGTGCTGCCTGGCGAAACCTCGGTTTCGCCAGGCCACTTGTTGGGCAACAAGGGAAGGAGAACATTTCCCCAGAAGCTTTAAGAGCCAGTCTGTGCTTCAGCAGGCTCTCTGTCCCTCGCCTCTGAGACCAGAGAGCCATGCTGGGTGCCACTGTCAGCCTAGGTGCCCCCGCGTGACCATCACAAGCAGAGCCCTGGATGTGCATGTGGCTAGAGACAAAAGTCTCATTGTTTTAACCCAATGAGATTTTCAGGCCTTTTCCCCCCTACAACCTAACTTAGCTTATCCTAAGCACACCTCCCTCCACTACCACCACCCAGGGCTGGTTCCTTGGCCAGCCATGCTGGTGCCATCCTGGTGCCAGTTCTGATGTGACAAAGCCTCTTCAGGAACACAACTTCCACGTGCTCGAGTGCACAGCTGGAAATGGATCGGTTCGTCGTACACTCACGCAGAAAGAACAAGGAGTGAGGCTCAACAGAGACTAATTCCTTCTACTGACGGGAGCAAGGACACATGCACACACAGCCGCTGCAACCCAACAAGCTACAATCAGACATGGGAAGGGCGCAGTTGATAAACTGGGCTCCGGACTGTTATTCAAAAGACATCAGGGAGACAATGAAAAAGGCACAGTAGTTGTACGAGGCCCCAATAAAATGATTAAAAAAAAAAAAAAGATTTGCAAGAGCTCCCCCCACCCCAATAAAATGATTAAAAAAAGAAAAGAAAAAGGCATGGTGTAAGAGGAAACATTTGCGATACATATAACTGACGACCCTCATTCAGAATTTATTTGAAAACTGCAAGTCATTGAGAAATCAAAGCAGCCTTGGAGAGAAAATAGGCAAAACCCCTAAGGAGGTACTGCACCCCGATGGCCGGCAGTCCTAACAGGAGCTGCCCTGGCCTGCGGATCTGTCGTCACACAACCACACAACCACCGGGAAGGCAGAGGTGCGATCTCACACAGCACCTGTCGGGAAGGATGTACAACAGGTGGAACCTGTGGAGGAACGTAGAGCGGGAAAGCCATTTCGGAGATTCCCACGCTCTGCGAACTCACAATTGCAATCACCCGTCTTTGAGGCCCATCAGCAGAGAGGGGCAAAGCGAGCCCCACAGAGGAACGTCCCTGCGGCATTATTCACTCCAGCTAGACCCCAATAGAACACCCTACCTCAGTGGTTCTCAACCTATCTCGTGCGGAGACCCTTGCATACAGTTCCTCATGTGGTGGTGACCCCCAACCATACAATTATTTTCATTGCTACTTCATCACTGTCATTTTGCTACTGTGATGAATCAGGCAGCCCCTGTGAAAGGGTCGTTCGACCTCCAAAGGGGTCATGACCCACAGGTTGCAAACCGCTGCCCTAACTTATTTGGCCTACTGCCCCTTTTCAGAAACAAGAATTACTAAACAAGAATTACTCATCGTCCCGTGCACCACCACCCCCCACCCCCGCATCCTCTCTGCACCCTCCAGGGGCCAGTGTGGCCCACTTTGGGAAACTGACAAACAGTGAGGAAAATGGGTGGTGGTGCTGGTGGTGACATATGCATTAAATACAGCTACATACTGTATGGCCAGATCAATACCAGGCTGGCTTCTAGCAACAAGTGACCTTGAGTCTCCCCCACCGGTGTGGAGCTGACCAGAGCTAGCAGAAACAACTAGCAGCAAGTGGCCTTGAATCTCCCACACACACCTGCGGAGCTGACCAGAGCTGGCTAATGGCCCGCTTTGTTCTCGACCCGCCGCTCTGCACCTGGCACTGGCATGGCCCGTTTGGCTCAGTGCCCACTTTGCTCTCGACCCTCCACTCTGCTCCCAGCACGGGCCCGTTTGGCTCAGTGCCCGCTTTGTTCTTGCCCACCACTCTGCACCCAGCACGAATACACCGGGAACCAGGAAGACACCTTACATTCCAGAAACCCGGACATACCTGCCCATATAAGCAACAGCCCTGTAGCCTGCAATGTGACTCCCCCAGCCCGGACATTGTGAACTGTGGGACTTCACCCAGGCTGGGTTTTTCTCCCCAATAAAGCCTGTTTGTTCTAATTCGACTGATTTGGTCTCTGGCGCCTCTGACTACCTTACATTGGTGCCGACACCTGGGACTAAGGACCCCCTCGGTGGTCAGGGGCCAGGCCCCCCCCCAAGGGACTCTTCTACAACCGAACCTTGGCGGTCGAGAACGGCGCGGTCAGTTTAGGACTCTGCTAAGCCCTGCCCTGCCACCTCTCCGTCTGAGCCTACCTGTCCGTGTCATGGCTGCACCAGGGACAGCTTTCCGCTTCTGTCCGGGACCCTGTGACCGGAGGGACGTCTCACTAGCAGGGGACCACCTCTGTTTAGAGTTTCCTCTAACTCGGGGGACGCCCTGTCTTAGGGGATCATGGGCAATACTGAGTCCAAAACTAATCTTAAGACCCCCTTGAGCTGTCTCCTAAATTTCTCCAGATTAAAATTCTCCCAAAGCCTCTGTAAAAAAAGGCTAATTTTTCTGTGTACCACCGAGTGGCCTCAATACCCCTTAGACAATCAGTCTAGGTGGCCCTCCGAAAGCACTTTTAATTTTGGCATCCTCACTGACGTAAGCAATTTTTGCCGCCGCTCAAGAAAATGGTCAGAGTACGTTCCGGTTTTCTGGACTCTCCGAGCCCGCCCATCTCTATACGTCCAGTGTTCCATCTCTATACGTCCTTTCAGCTAAATCAGCTGAAAGGAGCATGGCAGCGAAATCAAAACTTGGAAATAACCCCGACTCTCCCTACCACACCCCAGCACCGCCCTCTGCGCTCACTGAAAAGCCAGGCACTCTTAGGCTCTGGGCGGATTGCTAATCCTCCACCCTCCCAGCCTCTGCCGCCCTAGGCACAGCCACTCTCCCTCTCCTGGCCATCGTCTTCCCCCTGGGCTGCTGGACAGCCCAACACTCCGCTCCCTCTCCTGAGTCAGCGCACACGCGTTCCCACCTCCTGCCTCTTAGGGAAGTAAGTAGCAGGGGCTGAGGGTGTGCTAAGGTGCACGTTCCCGTTTCCTCTCCAAGGCCTGTCCCAAATCGAATGCAGGTAAGGGAA